ACATTTTAAGGTTAAAATGGCATTAAAGTGTGTTTTCATCTATACATCTATACATTTCATCTATACATTTACATGGAAATAATCTATCGTATTGAGTCTTCGCAGTTGGAACAATGCTGTAGATGCCCTCCCCCTCCCCCCTTTTAAAGATTTTATTTATTTATTCATGAGAGACACAGAGAGACAGACACATAGGCAGAGGGAAAAGCAGGCTCCCTGCGGGGGGCCCGATGTGGGACTCAATCCCAGGACCCCGGGGATCACGCCCTGGGCTAGAGGCAGACATTCAGCCACTGAGCCACCCAGGTGCCCCTTTTTCTACCTTTTTGAAACTATTTTTCCAGCGTTATTGAGATATAATCAACATATGACAATGTATAAATTTAGGGTGCACCGTGTGGTGATTTGATACACATGTATATTGCAAAATGAATACAGCAAAGTTGGTTCATGTGTTGATCACCTCACATAATTAGACTTTTTTTGTGTGTATGTGCTGATAGCTTTTAAGACATGCCCTGTTAGGGGATCCCTGGGTGGCGCAGTGGTTTGGCACCTGCCTTTGGCCCAGGGCGCGATCCTGGAGACCTGGGATCGAATCCCACCTCGGGTTCCCGGTGCATGGAGCCTGCTTCTCCCTCTGCCTATGTCTCTTCCTCTCTCTCTCTCTCTCTCTCTGTGACTATCATAAATAAATAAAAATTAAAAAAAAAAGCTTTAAAAAAAAGACATGCTCTGTTAAATCTGCTCTCTTACAACTCTCAAGTATACATACAATACAGTATTGTTAACTATGTATAGACTTTTAAGAGTTCATTTTAATATTTATTTTTATGTATGTATTTAGATAGTTTTAGTACATAGCCATGTTAACAGGAAATAAAATTAAAGGCCTTTAGCATTACTTTTAAGGTGTAATTAATTAATTTGAATAGCATATTAAATGAACTAAACATGTATCTTTTTAAACTTAATATACCATGCATTTTAAATGTATTCATTATATTATGTTATGCCTGCGTCACTACTTATCTATTTCTTTGTTGTTAGAGGTGGTTTAGCCAATGTAGTTGAAAGCAAGGACTTTGGAGCCAAACTGCTTGAGGTGGAATTTTTTCTAACGCTTACTCTTTCAGCAGTAAAATGGGATGGTTATAATACATATCTCATAGGGTTGTCGTGAAGATTAGATGAGTTGATTTCTGTAAATAACTTAGAACAGTACGTGACACACAGTTATTAGTTAAGTGTTACGATGAATGTCTTTGCACATAAATCTTTGTCAGAGTTTGTAATTATTTCCTTAGATAAATTTTTATTTTTTTTATTTATTTATTTTTTTAGATAAATTTTTAGAAGGGAAACATCTTGGTCAAGAATATGAGCTCTCAGTTTATGAACTGAAGTAATGATAAAGTCTTTCATATTCTGACAATACTAATGTTGGTACTAGAAAGATGTTGAAAAGATGAAATATGAATGTGACCAATGTCATTGGTGGGATGGTAAACTGGGCCATACAGAACAGATTTTAAAAGGGTTTTAAGGGGCCCTGGGTGGGTCAGTAGATTAAGCATCTGTCTTTAGCTTTGTGATCCCTGGGGCCTGGGATTGAGCCCTGTGTCAGGCTCCTTGCTCACCAGGGAGTCTGCTTCTCCCTCTCTCTTTGCTGCTCCCTCCCCCCACCCTACTCGTGTACTCTCTCTCTCTCAGTCTCATAAATAAATAAATAAAATCTTTAAAAGGGTTTTAGAATTTAAATTTTTTCTTTTAATTGAAGAAGAAACTGGTCATGTTGGAAAGAAAAGATCATAGTGCAAGTTCATTTACTCCTTCAACAAATATTTATTGGTTACCCACTCCATGCCAGATACTGTTCTGAGGTACATCAGTAAACAAAACAAACACCCTTGCCCTTATGGAGTTTATATGCTAACAGGGATAGAAAAACAATAAAGATAAATATAATAGATAGCATATTGAAAGGTGACAAGTGCTATGGGAAAAGAAAATGAAAAAAAGGGACAAGTGGAGAGTTATGGTGGTCAGTTAGGGTCTCATTGGGAAGATGGCATTTGAGTAGAGTTAAAAAGAATAGAAGTGGCTCTGGGAAGGGTTGCCTCGCTGGCTCAGTTGGTAGAGCCTGCAATTCTTGATCTCAAGGTCATGAGTTCAAGCCTCACATTGGGTGTGGAGCGTACTGAAAGAAAGAAAGAAAGAAAGAAAGAAAGAAAGAAAGAAAGAAAGAAAGAAAAAGAAAGTGTGTCTGGGGAATGAGCCTTCTGGCAGAGGCCCTAGGTGAGCTGTTGAAGACTACAGGGGAGCTGAGTGGGTGGGGGGGAATGGGGTGAAAGAGGCAACTGGGACCAACCATAGAGGGTCATTGTAGGGACTTTTGCTTCACTCTGAGTGAAATGGGAGCCTTCTCACGGTTTTTGAGTAGGAGAGTGATCTGAATTAACTTTACCAGATCTCCCCAACAATAGGTTGTAGGGGACAAGGTGAGAAAGAAGAGTACCATCCAATCTGGGTGGAGGTGAGGTAGCTGGGATCAGAGTGCTGGGATCATACAAAAAAACTCACTGAAAGAATAAAATAAAAACATGAGGGGCAGCCTGGGTGGCTCAGTGGTTTAGCTCCTGCCTTCAGCCCAGGGCGTGATCCTGGGGATCCCGGATCGAGTCCCACATCGGGCTCCCTGCATGGATCCTGCTTCTCCCTCTGCCTGTGTCCCTGCCTCTCTCTCTCACTCTCTCTCAGTCTCTCATGAATAAATAAATAAAATCTTAAAAAAAAAAAAAAAAACCCATGAGTTCCAGGGACCATCCCACTATAGGGACAAATAGTAGGAAATGTACCAGGAGCTCCTCTATCTATTACATTGTAAGACTGTAACTGACGTTTATAGAAATGTCCTCGAACCATCAAAATAAGTAAATTCCATATGCTTTTAAAACAGATAAGTAAATAGCTGAGGTTTTGTGTATGTTATAATAGTTAATATTTTTCAGATATTTTAATCATTTGAAAAACCTGTGTATAGATCCCACCTATTTCACCAAAGTTCAAACAGTACCTTGTTTTAATTTGTGCCAAACAAGAATATGAAGTGAAATTTTATTTGCTGCATTTTGATCTCCCTTCATTGCAGTCACAGGGTGACTGTGTAGGTGTTTCTGCGATTTTGTTCGGTGGGGAAAACCAGGGCCTAGTTGTGAGTGCCGGGGCAGTACCTAGATGTCAGGAGCTGCTTTTCCCTTTTTCAGCTGCTTGCTTTAGGAGTGCAGCACCTGCCTGAGAAAAGCAATCCAAGTAATCTAGAAACATAATTTCTAGGCCAACTGCCTTATATGTGACTATAAGCTGTGGATGAAGAATTAAATTATTATATTCATTAAGATCTACTTATTAAAATATTTAGGTTAGTTTTGTTTTAAATGAGGATTTCAATGCCTAAAATAAGAGTACATTTTGGTCACTTAAAAATTTAACAAAATAGAAAAATACTTCCTAATTATGCTGAGTGAATAAAATATATTTATGTTTTATCTGATGCTAGTTATAGGGAAGTGATGTGGATGGGTCTGCAAAGGGAGAGTTCAGAATTTTCAGGCCTATTTTGTCAAGCTGTGGGTATAACAAAAAAATGTGTTAGGAAGCACAAATATAGTTAACGGACTCATGGTTTGGAAGGTATCTATGGTAGAAAGATACCTGAACTTAGAAGGCTGTGACAATTAATTTAATCACATTGGGTGTGTCTCTCATCTATTAAATGGGGACATTAGTACTTATAAATACTTTATAGTTACTGTGCCTAATGAAGGCAAAGTATTGTAATTAATGTTATTAATAATCTTAACTCCAGGGATCCCTGGGTGGCGCAGCGGTTTGGCGCCTGCCTTTGGCCCAGGGCACGATCCTGGAGACCCGGGATCGAATCCCACGTCGGGCTCCCGGTGCATGGAGCCTGCTTCTCCCTCTGCCTGTGTCTCTGCGCCTCTCTCTCTCTCTGTGTTGTGTGACTATCATAAATGAATAAAAAAAATTAAAAAAAAAATTAAAAAAAAATAATCTTAACTCCATGAACTCTACCCTTTTCTCAATGAAGTCAATCAAGCTTTTGTTTCCTGATTTATAAACTGAATAGTTTTTTTTTTAAGATTTTATTTATTTATTCATGAGAGAGAGACACTCAGAGACATAGGCAGCGGGAGAAGCAGACTCCCTGTGGGGAGCCTGATGCAAGACTGGATCCCAGCAACCTGGGATCACAAGCTGAGCCAAAGGCAGATGCTCAACCACTGAGCCACCCAGGTGCCCCAATTGGACAGTTTCACAATGGTGTTAGAGACCGTAGCTTTTTACCCTTTTAGTTATTTAGGAGTCTGATCTTGTGAGTAACTTCTTGCAATGGTTACCAATAAATAGTTCTGGAAAGGCATTTATACATTCATGGAACACATCTTACAGTAATTCTTTATTTGTAACATCACTGTCTTATTTTGGGTCATTTAAAAGACTGGACATAAAGATTTAGTTGTAAGTAGTTTCTTTGGGAGGTAGTTGGAGGAGGCTCTGTGGAGTGGGGAATGGAGGCAATAAAAAGTATGTAAAAGTGGATCACCACTGAGGGCAGCTGGGCTTTATTCTGCAGGGAAATCTCTAAGACATGGTATGGAACATGCCAGGGGCAAGGGAACCAGGTTTTTTTTGTTTTGTTTTGTTTTTACCCACTATTGGTTGAGAATCATTTGGGGGGTGTAAACTCACTGACACTTTGGGCCTGCCTTCGTAACCAGAAAACATCCTTAGGCAGAGAGTTGTAGGAAGTGTAAGTGGTAGGTCTGGGAACCAGGTACAGCTGAGGGGACAAAGTTGCTTTCTTCTTAAACATTGTGTTAGAAAGTCGGACTGTATCTTGCAATAGAAAGCATAATTAATGTTGATAACAAGTGCCAGAAGCCAAATCTGTTTAATATGCCCTGTTTTCTCCTTAGGATTTTCTGTTGCAGCAGACCATGCTACGAATTAAGGATCCTAAGAAGTCACTGGATTTTTATACTAGAATTCTTGGAATGACGTAAGTAGACTATTTATTGGCACCTATGATGTTTAAATGTATAGCTTTGCAAATATAGGGAACGTTTTTGGATCCACTTAAAAAATGGATTACACTTTTCATCAAAAATCACAGAAGTCAGGCAGCCCAGGTGGCTCAGCTGTTTAGCGCCGCCTTCAGTCCAGGGCGTGATCCTGGAGACCTGGGATTGAGCCCCACGTTGGGCTCCCTGCGTGGAGCCTGCTTCTCCCTCTGCCTGTGTCTCTGCCTCCCTCCCTCCCTCTCTCTCTCTCTCTCTCTCTGTGTGTGTGTCTCTCTCATGAATAAAGAAATAAAATCTTAAAAAAAAAAAATCACAGAAGTCCTTTTAGCCAGGTGTCTGGGACTAGGCTTGACTGGCCTGGGCTTCTATCCAGTTCTTCTAAATGCCAGCCAGGCTCACTGGCTGAGTGCTTGGGTGTTCTTTCCCTCCCCTCTCTGTGAGAGCTGCCAGTTTAATCCTTAATGTCTTCAAATCCTTTTAATGTTATGGCCTTTTATTTACTTTGGAAAAGATACAGTTATAAAAATGCATTACTTAGAAAATGAATGAGTTTATCTAAAATTGGCCATCTATTCCATTTTACTAGGATGGATTCTCTTTTGCTGAACAGGTAATATCCACTGATCTGGAATCCTTAAAGCATAGTTGTTTTTATTTTTATTTTTTGTTTTTATTTTTACAGATTTTATTTACTTATTTGAGAGAGAGAGAGCACGGGCAGGAGCAAGGGGAGGGGCAGAGGGAGAAGCAGGCTCTGAGCAGGGAGCCGGGATCATGACCTAAGCCAAAGGCAGATGCTCAACCCACTGAGCCACTCAGGCGCCCCATAGCATATTTGTTTATTTTTCTTGTTTTGTTTCCCTTAAGAACATGAAGGGTTTTTTGTTTGTTTGTTTCTGACAATATAGATAAAGAATAAAATTAAGCAGTTTTTAATTTATTGCCTGGATAAACCTCCATCGCCATTGAGTAATATAGTATATGTTTGTTTAGGTTCAGAAAAATACAAAATGAAAAGTGGTTACCTTCCATTCCCAGTCTTTGTCCCCAAAGATAATGGTTGTTAACAGCTTCTTATAATTCTTTCCAGAAAAAATAGTTTAGCAAATGTTTATAGCACATTTAAAATCAGAGTGAAAATAAATACATTGAACATTAGGTATTTGCTAGACTTTACATGTTTTTCATTCAGTCTCCATAGTAGCTCATGAAATAGTTTATTCCCCATTTTATAAATGAAGGAAGAAACCAGAGTTTAAAAACACTAAGTTACTGGCCCCAAATGCTACAATGGGCACATGGTGGAGTGGGAATTCAAACCCAGGTCTGATTGACTCCAATCCTGACCTTGTTTTTCAAGATCCCCCCGCCCCCAACAGGGTGCAACTTGACATTATACTGAAAGATATGCTTGTTGGGAAAAACACATTACAACAGGTTCATTTGCCTCACTTCCCACCTGATTGGTCTGTAAGGCTTGTGTAATCTGCATTACTGGGTACAGAGATATTTTTTCATGACTGGAGTATGGGAGGTGTCCGATACTTTATTATAAACATGTTAGAGTAAATCTTATTTGTGGTAAGCCGGTGTCTGTCTCAGTAGGCCAAGGTGTATTACATAGCAGTAAGAATTAAAAGATCTGAAATCAGGACACCTGGGTGGCTCAGAGGTTGAGCGACTGCTTTTGGCTAAGGGCATGTGGGATTGAGTCCTGCATCAGGTTCTCTGCATGGAGCCTCCCCCTCCTCCCTCTTCTTATGTCCCTCTCTCTGTGTCTCTCATGAATAAATAAATAAAATCTTTAAAAAATAAATAAATAAAAATAAAATATCTGAAATCAAGCTTAGAAACTTTCATTTGTTAGGTTAGGCTTTAACCATTCTCTCTTATTATGAATAAGGTCATCTTTGAGCACTTAGTCCTCAATAATCTAAATAAAATTATATTGTGTGCATCCTCATTATACCCTACTCCTTGCAAAATAATCTTATGCTCTTTAAATTCACTTTATAGGTCATGACTTAAGCTATCTTTTTTTTGGGGGGGGGGGGGCGAAGGGAAGGGGCAGAAGGAGAGGGAGAGAGAATCTTAAGCAGGCTCCATGCCTAGTGTTTGTCCAACACAGGGCTCCATCTCCTGACCCGAAGATCACGACCTGAGCTGAAATCAAGAGTCAGGTACTCAACCAACTGAGCCACCCAGGTGCCCCTTCAACTATCATTTTAAAAACTTCAGGATTTTTAAAAACTTTTTAAAAACACTATCTCACATCAGTCTCTCCCTTTCCACTGGCTCTTTCTCCTCAACCTACAAACAAGCTTAAGTCTTTATTCTGGCATAATTCTTGCCCTCTTTCCCATCATCGCCCATCATCTATATAGGTCAGTCATGCTTGCTACTTTACTTGCTCACTTCGCCTTGCCTCCATCAGGGCGGTCCAGCTTCTGGCATCCCATGCTGCTGAAACTGCCCTCAAATACTGCAGAAACTGTGAAAAGGCTGCAGAAACTCCTTTCCATATCTAGTGACCTGTTCACAGTCTTAATGCTGTGTGACCTTTCTTCAGTATTTTTTTTTTTTTTAAAGATTTTATTTATTTATTCATGATAGTCACACAGAGAGAGACAGAGAGGCAGAGACACAGGCAGAGGGAGAAGCAGGCTCCATGCACCGGGAGCCTGACGTGGGATTCGATCCCGGGTCTCCAGGATCACGCCCCGGGCCAAAGGCAGGCGCCAAACCACTGCGCCACCCAGGGATCCCTCGGTGGCGCAGTGGTTTAGCGCCTGCCTTTGGCCCAGGGCGCGAGCCTGGAGACCCGGGATCGAATCCCACGTCGGGCTCTCGGTGCATGGAGCCTGCTTCTCCCTCTACCTATGTCTCTGCCTCTCTCTCTCTCTCACTGTGTGCCTATCTTCAGTATTTTATATGTTTAACCACTTTATTGTTGACATTCATGTTCTCTGTGGTATTCATCTGTCCTTCCTTCTCCCTTACCACCTATCGTCACTTTCTTTTCCTAGGAGTTTTGGCATAGTAAGAACTCAATAAATGTATTTATATATCTGAAAGAACAATAAGATAATGCATTGTATTTTTCATCAAAAATGGACAAAAGTTTTCTTTTGAAGATACCTTTAGCCATTTATTTTTTTATTTTTTTAAAGATTTTATTTATTTATTAGAAGACAGAGAGAGAGAGAGAGAGAGAGAGAGAGGCAGAGGGAGCCTGACATGGGATTCGATTCTGGGTCTCCAGGATCAGGCCCTGGGCTGAATGTGGTGCTAAACTGCTAAGCCACCAGGGCTGCCCACCTTTAGCCATTTATAAACAAATACCATAATTCCAGTTAAGTTTCAAGTTTGCTTTGTAAAAACTTTTTTATTTCACTGATATTTACAGATGAATAGGTTTTTTGAAATGAGATATCTTCATTTATTTCCCCTTGGTCTTCCTATTTAAATAGCCTCACTACATATGGCTTTTATTCTTAGTGGAACTTGAATATTGGTATTTTGATTTTAATATGAATCAACCTTTCCTGTTATTAATTGATTTAGGCTTGTTGTTTAATTTCAGGCTACTCCAAAAATTAGATTTTCCCACCATGAAATTTTCACTCTATTTCTTGGCTTATGAGGAAAAAAATGACATCCCAAAAGATAAAGATGAGAAAGTAGCATGGGTATTCTCCAGGAAAGCTACACTTGAACTGACACAGTGAGTATGAGTTTTTATTTTTTTATACAGTATACATTTTTCAAACCTTTTTTCCTTACTTACAAGCTTACTTCAAACTAGATTTACCTAATCACTTTGCATTTGTAACAGTTCGAGTATTTTATAATGGATTTTTTGGTCTTTGTACTGTTCTGGTGCATAGTTAGGGGCAAGTAAGATCATTTATCTTTTAGGTAGGTAATGTAAGGCAGAATTGGCAAGATAATTGCCAAATGATACCTAATGAATGTTTAGGCACTATGAGTAAGGCCTCATAATTTCAACATTTTAGAAAAAAAAATTCTTTTTTAATTTATGTTGTTTCTGTGTCCTCTTGCACAACTAACAAAAGAACATTTATTTCAGGGTATGTGATTTAGTGTGTCCCTGATTCAAAACAGGTCTGGAATCACACAGATCTAGAGATGAGTGTTGGCTCTGACGGTAGCTGTGGAACCCTGAACAAGTTCTGTTACCTCCTTAACTGGCAGTCCCATTCATGAAATGGAGTCTCAAATCTAGCCCACGGAGCTGTTTGGAAGATTCCATTTGCCTTTTCTTTAGTTGAAAACTTAATATTTATAGTGGCAAAGAGGAAACCAAGTCTATAAACTTGCATACATACACAGTGAGGTTTCAAAGAGATTGTTGCTGTTTTCTTTTCAGAAAACTATTTGCCCTACAGGTCACGTGTAATTCTGTTTTCCCTCCTTTTGTAGCAACTGGGGCACTGAAGATGATGAGACCCAGAGTTACCACAGTGGCAACTCAGACCCTAGAGGATTTGGTATGTTTGCCTATTCATAGGTAGTATACATGGATTTGTGTGATTTGTGCATTGTACACTTATTAAGAAGAATCAACTTCTTAGGTGTATGGTGGTTTTAATTTTCCACAAAAAATTTGATTTAGGAGTGGTTTAATTTCATGGTCTTTGTCTAAACTCTACATTTACTCTCTCACAATGATTTCACTTTTCAGTCAGTATTCTATTTCCAGGAGACTTTTCAATTTAAGAAACAAAAACCGTGGTTGATAATAATCCACATTTCTGCTAGCATACACTTCCGCCCTGATGTAGAATCTGTTAAGATGATGGGATTGGTGGCTTAAATTGGCTGCTATAGAGTCAGCGGCCACAACAAACCTGTTAAGTATGAGTAAATGATTACTTTTTCTTGATAGTTTTTCTTAATAGAATGAACTATACGTGAGCCCAATTTTGGGTTTATTTTAAATAATTGATAATTCAGAGCTCCTAATTAGTTTATTATACCCAGCCAGTTAGACTTAGATTCTTGTGCTTTAATACAAGTTTTGAACACATTTGATTTAATCAGTATTCAGGTGCCTTATGTTTTGAAATAAACTAGTTTTGGAAGCTACCTGTGGCACTTGGGTACCCTGAAATAATTATTTCTTCCTTCTGTCTGCCTTGTTTGGGGGTGGCCACCTAAGGTCACATTGGAATTGCAGTTCCTGATGTACACAGTGCTTGTAAAAGATTTGAAGAACTGGGAGTCAAATTTGTGAAGAAACCTGATGACGGTGAGTCCACTGCTTGTCTTCTCCAGGCCCCTCTTTCGTTATGTAACAATGACTAAGCACCCACAGAGGGTACTGTTCTCTAGTCAATCCCTGTGGTTGCAAGTAACCTTGAAGAAGTCTGCTTCAACCAGCTTAAGGAAAGCAGAGGAATTATTGGGAAAATACCCGGGTGTCTTCAGGAATGAAACAGCAAGTAGGACAGCTTCACAGGGAACCAGGCACCAAGTCTAGAGAGCCATCAAAAACCTAGTTTCTCTCCCCACACTTGGACCCCACCACATTCTCTCACTGGCCACTGTTTTTCACTATTTCAGGGTATATCTAGCCACCCCAAAATAAATTCCTTAAAGCCTATGTTATCTGATTTTAATATAACTACACCACAAATCCTTAGTTAATAATGGCTGGTCTTTTATTTCCATTCTTCTACAACCTTTGTGTGTCCTTATGTTTCAGGTGTTTGTCTGGAAATAGTGTGTATATATCTTGATTTTGTGGAATTTTACATGTATTATAGTTAGTTTACTTAGATCTGTTTCTGCCAGCATATTACTCCAGTTTTGAATTGAACATTTCACATTTCATTTTAATCCTTTTCTTTTTTTCAATTAAAAGATTTGATATAAAGATACCCTCCCAGACTGGGATATTACTAATTTATTTTTCCTTTTTCTTTGGCCTTGGCTTTCTTTTTTTCTTTATATATATATATATATCAAATTATTTAACCACCTTTTTTTCTATGTATCTCTTGCAGCATCTTTTGGGTTTTTCTGTCCCTTTATTAAGTATCTTAACCAAAACTGTTTTCAAAGGGTTTGTGAGGCAAAACTTCTGAGGCTTTGTATGTCTTAGACCCGTATCTTTATATATGAATGACAGTTTGTTGAATATAAAATCTTAGGTTTATTTTCCTTCGATCTTGAAAACACAACTCCATGGTCTTATTTTTCCATCCAGTGGTGCTATTGCAAAATCTGCTTCTGATTCGTGTTATCTTCTATTTTATTCTGGGAGCTTTTGTTACATTTGTTATTTCTTTGTTCTTTTTCTGGGAGATCCTCATGCTAGCATACCAGATTAGCTAATTTTCCCTCAAATGTATCTGTTCTGATACTCATCTTTTGTGTTCTCATCTACTGTATTCTTAATTTCAGCCATTCTAATTTTAATCCCTAGTTTTTGCTCAGCTCCTTAAATATGTTCTTGTTCTTGTTTCATATTGGTTATATTTCATACTATTCAACACATATGCATGTTTTAATAGCCTTGGTCCATTGCTTTAATATTTGGCCCTCTATTTGAATCTATAATCCACTGTTTGTTTTATGGTTACGTTCCTCAAACTCTTGTTACTTTGATCTCTGAGGAGTTGTTTTCATTGCATCTCTTAGTGTTCCAGTGCATCAGGCACTGTGAATGGTGGGGGAGGCTAGACCCCAACCCTTTAACCGCCCACAGGCTCTCAGGAAGAGGGGCCAGGCACAGATCCCTAGGCATCTGAAGTTAAACACCTTGCATTCTGCAGAACAGCTCTTCAGTCACGTTTTCCCCTGTGTCCCTCAGAAAGGAGTCTTAGCAGGAGACCCTTCCTTCTAGGATGGTCATTCCCTAACTCTGATTGTGTGGAAAGTGAAGCTGGGGGGATCCAGTTGGTTCTCACCTGTGCTTGTTCGTTCCTCACAGGCACAGAACTTCTGCACTGCCCCTGTTTACTCCTGAGGACGTGTGAACCAGTAGTTTGAACCTCCCCTAGCATGGGGGTAGGAGCTGATGCCCAGGACACTGGGAGGAGCAAGAGGCAAACTAGCAAAACCCCTTCTGTTTAATTCTCCCATAGCGGGGATCCCTGGGTGGCGCAGAGGTTTGGCGCCTGCCTTTGGCCCAGGGCGCGATCCTGGCGACCCAGGATCGAATCCCACGTCGGGCTCCCGATGCATGGAGCCTGCTTCTCCCTCTGCCTGAGTCTCTGTCTCTGTCTCTCTCTCTCTCTCTCTCTCTCTGTGACTATCATAAATAAAAAAATAATAATAATAAAAAAAGACTATAGTTATTCTCCCACAGCCATGATGGACTGGACTGCTTTCTGATCCAGGCCAAAACTGTCCCATTTCCACACAGACCAGATTAAACAGTCTTTCTCTCTCTCAATCTCTCTCTCTCTCTCTCCCTCTCTCTCTCTCTCTCTCTCTCTCTCTCTCTCTCTCACACACACACACAATACACACCACCCCCAACCACCTCTTCCTCTCCCCTGACATCACCCCAGGGGTTCCTCACCTTTTTCCCCCGTTTTCCATATATGTTCCTCTGGTGTTGATCTTGGGGAAAAGAGCCAGAGAGAGACAGGGGTCAAACTAACTTAGCATCGTGGTCCCAAAATAGATTGCTGAGGTCACATTTCTCCATTTAACCAAAGAACTCTACTACTAGACCTACTAGCCTCTCAGTCCCGGTTATAAATTCCCAGGAGAAAGACTGATTGACATAGCCTAAATGACCCAGAATAGCGTTTAAAGAGTCTGTTATGACCCAAGCCTCTGGATTCTTTTGGCTGTGTGGGTATGCCATGCTACCTGCTTGAACACCATCCTATTTTCTTTTCCTCTTTAAAATAAGACAATCTCTATGACTCTTCAACAGGGAGCATGACATGTATCATGAAGGTGAAGTAAAAATCTGATGCCCAGAACTGTAGCCAGTACCACAGTTTATATCAGGGGAGTTGGCTTCCAGCTATGGGTAGAAGATAGTATGTTAGTCATTCTGAAAAGCATGCATTTGGGCAGTGCTGACGAGAGAACTGTTTAAAGTTAAAACTATATAGGGGATCCCTGGGTGGCTCAGTGGTTTGGCGCCTGCCTTTGGCCCAGGGTGTGATGCTGGGGTCCCGGGATCGAGTCCCACGTCGGGCTCCCAGCATGGAGCCTGCTTCTCCCTCTGCCTGTGTCTCTGCCTCTCTCTGTCTCTCTATCATGAATAAATAAATAAAAAATCTTTAAAAATTTTTTTAAAGTTAAAACTATAAACAAAATAATATACTTTATTAAAACCAAGTTAAAAAATACTCTAAATTTTATATTTCTTAATGAAAATCATTTCATCTTACAGGTAAAATGAAAGGCCTGGCATTTATTCAAGATCCTGATGGCTACTGGATTGAAATTTTAAATCCTAACAAGATGACAACTATAATTTAGTTCTGTGAGAATACTGCTTTGCAATTTCAGTGAAGACCTTGTGGGAAATAATAAAAAAGGAAATGGTGTAATTCAAGATATTCAGATAACAGAAATATCTAGGACTGAAGGATCATTGTCCCAGTTCAGATTATTCTGAAGTCCATTTCCCTTTCCTATTTCAGCTATGTTTTTTACCTAACTTCAGTCATTATCATTTTAAAGTAGTGCTTTGTCTTGTGTCCTTGAATGTACTTCTGTAACTTTACTTTTTTTAGGTAGTAATTAGAACATTTCCCTTCAGAGGGTGCATTTGCCTTCTTTCTCCTAAATATGATGTCTTTACAAGTCTACCTTTGAATAATCATTTTAAAAAAAAAGAAAAAAAAATTAACAAGTTTTTGTTGTGGTTACCTTCTGGGGTTTCAATTCCTCAGAAATCACTTCACAATGGAAAGTAAAGAACACTGAACAAAAATGAAACTTCATTTATACTTCAAATGGTATAAAATGTTTATTTTACAAAAGAGAAGGTAGTCTTGGGAGCAAGTCAGAATCAGACTGACAAGGATGTTGATAGGAAAACTAATTTATTCTTACTGACAAAGTACTTTCAAAGTTCAAGGACTAACCTCTTTATTTTGGGATGGGAATAATATTAACTGGGTATGCAGACACTGGGCTTGGCTGTCACATACTGTATCTCATTTAATCCTCCCAGCTATCCTCCATTCTGTGAGAAAGAAAGCAGGCTAGATGTATAAACTGACTTTGTGAACTGAAGGCAATATAAATAGGCTCAAGTACTCGAGATCTGATTCTCATTTTTGGTTAGATTGTACCTCAAAAATTAGTACCTAACAGGAACTTTTCTCCACTCGCCTCTGCTGTGAAAACCATACTTGAGCTTGAACGTTGTCCTCTCAGCCCTAGGGCCTGAGCACCACAGAGAGAGAAGAAGCAGTGGAGGGAGTCTGTAGCACACAATTGTTCTGAGGACGCCTCCTTTTTCCTGGGCAAGCAGTGCCTGTATTACTTGTGAAGACCCCTACCCCAAGGTCATCCTGATGCCAGTAATCATTTAGGATGAATGATGTTCAGTGATAATAGTACTTAGTTATTAGAAATTAGCTTAATGGGATGCTTGGGTGGCTCAGCGGTTGAGCCGCCTGTCTTTGGCTCAGGGCATGATCCTGGAGTCCCGGGATTGAGTCCCATGTCGGGCTCCCTGCATGGAGCCTGCTTCTCTCTGCCTATGTCTCTGCCCCCCCCCCCCCCCGTGTCTCTCATGAATAAATAAATAAAGTCTTAAAATTAAAAAAAAATTAGCTTAGTGGCCTTTCTTGCCATGATTGATATTTGATGGGTTTTAAAAAATCAAGCTGATTTTGACAATCTCATGGTCCAGAGAATAAGAACATCCAGTTTGTGGTTTACTGAACATTTAGATTTTCTGTTGACTCTAGTGGAAGGCCTTTGGATAGGCTGTGCCAACTGTGCTTACACCTGCTAAAAGCACTTGACATTTCCTTTTTGGATGGAATGGATTTTGTGAGCAATTCAAACAAATAGCAGTACTTACAGACTGAAATAAAATCTTAAATAAGGCTTTGTTTAATTTGTAAACTGTCCAGTGTATTCTTTTTAAAAAAGCCTACAGTGGGGCTCCTGGTGGCTCAGTCGATTGGGTGTCTGACTCTTAGTTTCAGCTCAGGTCATGATCTCATGGGTCCTGGGATGGAGCCCCACATCACCTTTGCACTCAGCAGGGAGTCTTCTTGAGGATTCTCATCCTCTGCCCCTCTTCCCACTCACATATGCGCATGCGTGCTCTCTCTCTAGAATAGATAAGTGAATCTTGAGAAAAAAAGCTTGCAATGATTTGAAAGGGCTTGCAGGCTTGTTCTGAAACGGGAATAGCTGTAATTTTGTCTATCCTGGAAAGCAGATAGTTTATATGGATAAAGAAGTGTGGAAAAGGTGGGAAGAGTAAACAGGGATAAAGAAATGTGGTACAAAAAGTACAAAGAAGAACGACTATCAAAAGGTGAGTTGTGGGAACCAGTGAAGACCAATTTCACATGTTAGGTATTAGAATTATCAAATGGCAGGGTGATCAAATTCATAAATCATTTAAACCTTATTTCCATGGAAAAAAGCTTTCTCTACTTGCTCGGTAAAACTTGCCAAAAAGATAACCCTTGCTTATTGCTTAAGTTCATCTCTGTATGCACTGAAAGGATGTATATTGTATTACCAGGTAAGGGATTGGGACAATTCACCTACTTCCAATTAACTTATCTAGAAGTTGTGATATGAAAGAGTGTAGTAGAGCACAAGAAGTTTGCTTATTTTCCACAACTGGACCACAAGACTGTAGCTTACTGTCAATGTAAAATCAGTCTCCCATGAGCCCTTCACAGCTAAGCCTGAGACTCAGTTATAATACAGTGGTTGGAATTAGGCACTAAGGGCCGAGAATTACCGTGGCTTCCCTACATAGCATTCTGAGCAGGATTGCATACGGTGTTGCATATGTGTGTACAAGTATTCCTTAGCAACACAACAGCTTTTGAAGAGGGTTATATTAGTAAGAATGCTGCTGGTAACCAGAGAAGACCCAATTCTGTGGGCTCATAAAGAGTTTAGAGATACCAAGAACCCTGGTTTCCTTCCTTCCTTCCTTCCTTCCTTCCTTCCTTCCTTCCTTCCTTCCTTCTCAACCTGTCACTCTCAGCATTTTCTTTCTGGACTAATAATACTCCTGATCAAAGATGCCTACCATGATTTCCAGGTGTCACGTATAAGCCAACAATGTCCAGTGAAAGAAAATAACCTGTTTTTTCTTTGCCGTTAGTGACTATAAAACCTTTCCCAAAGCTTGGCTTACTCCCCCTTGTGCCTCGGCTACATCTGGCTCACTTGCCTGTTCTAATACCTGACAAAGGGAATGAGACCACTCTGATTTAGATGGGTCATATTTACTCAAGTTGCCTGCATGAGAGTGGGCACTGGATCAAAACAGACGGCCAAAATGGAGAAGCAAATAAGGGCTTCCGAGCAGGCATAACCAAACTGCAACAGGGGGAAATGAAATGTTGAGGACCGATAAGATAGCAGACATCTTCTGCCCTGGAAGAAGAGCTTGGTCTAAGACTGGTTCTCAACCACATCAAACTTAGCAGATCCTTTTTACTATAACATGGGAACATTTGTAACCTCGATCACACCCACTATCCTAAAAAGAAATTTATATATAACTCACCTATATACACAGTTTCAGAAAGGGTCAGTCTCCTGTCTTTACTGTGAAGGAGAAATGAAATCAATTTGCGATAAAACATGCATTTCAACATAAAAACGCCCAGATACTACTACACTAGAAAACATGAAGTAAGTAGTCAGGTGGTTGCTCTTAAGCATGAAAGAAGTGAAATTGCTCATTCAAGTACTGTTAACACTATCGGATATTTTTAAATGAAGACTGAATTCATGGGGCACCTGGTGGCTCAGTGGTTGAGCATCTGCCTTTGGCTCAGGATGTGATCCTGGGGTCCTGGGATAGAGACCCATACCGAGTTCCCTGCAGGGAGCCTGCTTCTCCCTCTGCCTGTGTCTCTGCCTCTCTGTGTCTCTCATGAATAAATAAATAAAATCTTTTAAAAAAATAAGACTGAATTCATGATTCATAAAAGCTATAAGGTTACATATAATGTGTACTCACAACATGTGTGTTTTATTGGCTAAAGAACATTAATAACATTACTGTTGGAAATATCATTTTCCAATTAGTGATCAAATTCTTGCTGAAATCTTTTTTTTTTTTTTTTAAGATTTTATATACTTAGTCATGAGAGACACAGAGAGAGGCACAGACACAGGCAGAGGGAGAAGCAGGCTCTATTCCATGCAGGAAGCCTGATATGGGACTCGATCCCTGGTCCCCAGGACCACACCCTGGGCTGAAGGCAGCACTAAACCACTGAGCCACCCAGGCTGCCCTCTTGCTGAAGACTTGATTAAAAGAATAATATTCCTTCTGTTGGTAGCATAGTTTGTCTCTAGAGAATATTTAAATTGTATAAGTAACAAGATAGTACTCCCAGGCTCAGATAAAAAGGTAGCTTGATATTTTTATTGAAGTAATGTTGACATTTTGTAAGTTTAATGTGTACATTTGGTACAAACACCTCTATTATGTCACATAAATATCATTTCTCTTGGGGTGCCTGGATGCCTCAGTTGGTTAAGTGTCCAACTCTTGGTTTCAGCTCATGTTGTGATCTTAGGGTGGTGAGACTGAGCCCCACATTGGGCTCACTGCTTAGCAGGGAGTCTGCTTGAGATTCTCTCTCTCCTTCTCCCCCACCCATTCCTCTCCACTTGCATGCACATGCTCTCTCTCTCAAATAATCTTTAAAATTTTTTTCTTTTATGTGGTGGAAACAATTAAGATCTAGTCTCTTAGTGACTTTGAAGAGTCTTTGAAGTATTGTTGCCTATAATCACTATCCCATGCATTAGATATCCAGGACTTACCAGTTGAAAATTTGTACTTCACATTTTAAAAAAATTAATAGTTTTTATAATAGTTTTAGATTTGTAGAAATGATGCAAAGTTCCCATATATCCCAGTTTCCTTTATCTTTAAAGTCTTACATTAGTATGCTAACTTGTTACCACTAATGAAACTACATTGATGCATTATTATTAACCAAAGTCTAGACTTTATTTAGATTTTCTTAGGTTTTTTTTTTTTTAAGATTTTATTGTATTTGAGAGAGAGTGTGTGTGTGTGTTAGTGAGAGAGAGTGAGCACAAGCTGTGGGGAGGGGCAGAAGCAGAGGGGAAAGCAGACTCCCTGTTGAGCAGGAAGCTTGACAAGGGGTTCTACCCCAGGACCCTGGGATCATGACCTGAGCTGAAGGCAGACACTTAACAGACTGAGCCACCCAGGCGCCTCCAGATTTTCTTAGTTTTTAGCTACTTTCCTTTGTTACAGGATTTCATCCAGGATCCCATATTACATTTAGTCACGTCTCCTTAGACTCCTGTAGAATGTGATGGTTTTTTAGACTTTCCTTGTTCTGGAGAACTTTGATAGTTTTGAGGAGTGCTGACTAGTCAGAATGTTTTCTCAGCTGGGATTTTATTAATAGGAATTTTTTTCTCATGATGAACCTGGGATTGTGGTTTTATAGGAGAAAGCCTATAGAGGTAAGGTGTCCTATCACATCTGATCAAGGGTGCACATAATCAACACGGTGTATCACTGATGTGAATCTTGATCACTAGGCTGAGGTGGCTTTGGTTGTTTCTCTACTGTCAAGTTAATCTCCACCTACCCCCTTTCCATGCTGTGCTCTTTGAAAGGAGGTCATTAAAAAAAAAAAAAAAACTAAGAAAGGAGGTCAGTTATGTGAAGCCCAACTTCTTAAGGGGAAAAGCAAGTTTTTTACCTATACGAATACTCAGTGAGACTTTTTAAAGTTGTGCAGGCCTTTACACGATGTCTCACAACTCTGTCCCACGTCCACTAAGGAAAGACCAGTTGTGAAACTCAGCCGGAAATGCCCCATGAGTTTCCAAAACTACCCCTAGGGGTCAGGATTGCCCTGTGGAGAACCACTGGTCTCAGCTCTCAACCACTAGTTTCTGTAAAGTGGAGTGTGAACTTAGAGCATTTGCAAAGGAATCTGAGTTCAGAATCAATAGTTTCATGCTTTTCTCTGTTTTTTTTTTTTTTTGCCTCTAACTCAGGAGTTTATTTTAGTTTTTTTGTCTTTGAGAGTTCTTCAGAACATTCAATTTTCCTTTTACATAAACTTTCTTTGTTGCTTAAATTCATTTTGCATTTTATTTCATTTTAAATGAAATTTAAATTTCATTTAAGATTTTTTTAGAGAGAGAGCACATATGAGCAGGGGGAGGGGCAAAAGGAGAGGGAGAGAGAGAATCTCAAGCGGACTCTGCACTGAGCACAGAGCCAGATGTGGGGTGTGATTCCAGAGACCCTGAAATCATGACCTGTAGTTGAAGTCAAGAGTCCTACACTTAGGGCGCCTGGGTGGCCCAGTGGTTAAACATCCACCTTCAGTTCAAGTCATGGTCCTGGGGTGCTGGGATCAAGCCCCATGTAGGGTTCCCTGATCAACAGAAAGCCTGGTTCTCCCCTTCCCCAGACCCCACTCATGCTCGCTCATTCTCTCTCTAATAAATACATACATACATACAATCTTTAAAATAAAGACAGAGTCCCACACTTAACTGACTGAGCCACCACGTGCCCCTGTATTTTATTTTAAACCAGAACCTATGGCACACTGGGAGCAGAAGCGCCACCCTGTGTTTATTTGAGAAAATTTCTTTATACACAGAAAACCAATGTAGTGTAATCATCATATTGAACAGCCTCACTCTTCCCCAGGGGTGGTCTCTGTACCAGCAGCAGCAGCAGCAGCAGCAGCACTGGACACCTAGTTAAAAATTAAGATCTTCAGGCTTCACCTGAGACCTCCTGAAGGCGAAGCTTTATTTTCAAAGGATCTCCAAGAAATTAGTAGACACAATAAAGTTTGAGAAGCAGTTATACAGACTCTTTTCTAAAGCCACTAATAT